GAGCTTTAAGCTTCCTCCAACACAAACCAGTCTGGGATTTGTTGATTCTAATGCAGCTTCCCAAAGGTGTTGCTCACGCACACCAGCCAGGCTTCTCGTCCCGACACTACAGCTGATACATCCACCACTGGGCAGCTGATGATATAGGTCATTGAGCTGCAGTAGGTGTCCTGTGGTCTGTCACACAGCTCTCGGACTACATAAGCTTTGGTAACATTTAATTTTCCACATAACACTGAGATGTCAAACAAGCTTTCAGAGGTGCTCCTAAGTAAATCAGGTCGCTCTTGCTTCATGTGGTCTCTGAAGTTGTTTTGAGGGGAGCAGATCTCTCACCTCTGCGTTGTTGGGCTGCCCACTTCTGACATCCAGTAACGACGTTTAAGTGTCAGCAGTGGCTGTGCTGTCAGTCATTCCGAAACGGCTTCTAGAGGAAAGCGCATGTACGAAAATTCAGAGTTTGAAGAAAAAGAAGGAAGTAATAGTGTGTTTAAAGATCTGAGCATTTCCAACTGGGCGTCTTTAGGTAGAGAAGAAAGGTCTTACGTTTGGGCTGTTTGTAACCTTCCACTGACATAAAGAGGAGTTTTCTGCTTGTAAATACTGCTTTGTCTGAAAGTCCCTGTTCCAGGGAGGCTTTAAAGGGGAGGGGAATTTGGTCCTCACGCTAAAGCAGGGAGGATGCCTTCGTTTAAAGCCAAAACATTTGTTTCTTTCCCAGCATCAATACGTATGTTCAGCAGCTCAGAATCTCTGTTCCAGGTGTCATACGGCCATACTGAGGATGTCGATGGATATAACTTTCCTTGGCACTGGCTCGGCCTATCCCTCTCCAACCAGAGGAGCATCTGCACTGGTGCTTCGCAGGGAAGGAGAATGCTGGCTCTTCGACTGCGGGGAGGGAACTCAAACACAGTTCATGAAGAGCCATCTGAGAGCAGGTTGGTGCTGTGAAAGCTATTGCGATGAGGGAAGGGGAGAGTTCGGTGAGCTCTACACAACACACTCTATTCTTGTGGCATTTGAATATGTACTGAACGTGCATGAGCCGCTGTGGGTGGCAGCTGCCGGCTGCTTAACCTGCTGTGCAATAAATCCCTGATGGCCCTTTTGTAAAGAATTTTCTTTGAGAACCAAACTCTCCGGAATTAATGTATCAGGCTTTGTAGTTTCAAGTGCGGACCACAGACCAGCTTTAAACCAGCACAGTTTCTGTCTGTCTGAAGGCAGCTCTAGACAATACCTGCTGTGAGTCTTCCTCTCAGTAATTATTGTGCTTTTGTTTCCAAGAAAAGGTGTGTGAATTCATAGTAACTTTCCCATTTTGGCAAATAAAGTAGAAACCAGACTTAAGCCCTCAGTCGCTGTGAATTCGCAGCCTGCAGTGGCAAGAGCAGACTTCTGACTCTCAAGTTGTAAAGATGGAATTACAATTATGAATAGAAAACCAGCCTTCTGCTCCTTTGAAATCTGAAGCTGTCAGGGGATTTAGTGGCCAAATGGATAGATTAATTTTTTACTAGAGTTACTGATTTTTACTTAATTGTTCTTCAATCAAAACAAAGATTCTGTTCTTCCTACTGCTGAGTCCTAACAGATGGTGGAGAAAATGCCTTACTGTGTTGATGTGGAACTTCAGCTGAGGCAGCCTGATTAAAGTACACGTGTCTGTAACGAGAGAAAATTCTGGGCTTTTGTAATCTATCAGGAGCATGGCTCAGACACAAAAACAAAGCCCAAATCTTTAAAGTGCAGTTTTTCATCTGTTCCAGAGAAACAAGTCAGGATCTGTGGGTTTCTTGCCTTTTAAAAACGTTGAAATCAAAACTGGATGGTTTTTGTTTTTGACTTACGTTAATTTCATGTGCTGAATTCAAAAGTAGGAGCAACACAGATTCCAGGTTATGTTTCTCATTAGCCTACAGTTCCCATGTAATGTATGGGAGCACGGCCACTTTCCAGCACTACTTCACGTTCTAATATAGCAGATGTCACCAGTCAGTTTTCTGCTATACTTCTAGCGTGTTTTGCTTAGAAGGAGCTAAAACGTCTGTCTTGGCAGTCTTTGACAAATCAAGCCAAAATAAACCTGGTATGGAAACTTATCACTGCTGTGGAAAAGAAGAACTGTGGTTCGGGATTTATTTCTTAAACACTAATTTTATATTAGTTTCCCTCTTTCATTGCATTTCCTGCTTCTTGCCCCAGAGTGATGATTTCTGCATTGCTGTGCTCCTTTATTTTCCTGGGTTTTGTTTTTCTGGTTTGTTTTTCCCTGTTGTTCTGATCAACAGGCAGAATTACCAAGATCTTCATAACTCATCTTCACGGTGACCACTTCTTTGGACTTCCTGGCCTGCTGTGTACAATTAGCCTCCAAAGCAGCCCTGACTCAGACAAACCACCTCTGGATATTTATGGACCATTAGGGCTGCGAGACTTCATCTGGAGGAGTATGGAGCTCTCCCACTCACAACTTCTTTTTCCCTACGTTGTTCATGAACTGGTACCAACGCGGGACCAGTGCCCTGCAGAAGAATTCAAAGAGTTTTCTTATATGGGCAGAGATGAGATACCTCCCAAGGGAGCACAAGGGAGAGTACTCCATCTGGACCCAGCAGAAGACTCTTACTTGCTGCTTGAGGATGAGCAGCTGGTTCTGAAAGCATTTCGCCTGTTTCACCGCATTCCTTCCTTTGGCTTTGTGGTGGAAGAGAAGCCCCGGACCGGCAAACTCAATGTACAGAAACTGAAAGACCTGGGTAATTACTTTGACTTGGGTTTTGTCCTTTTAAGTATTTTAAATGCCTAAATGCATGTGTTCAAGCTGAGTAGCGACCCTGATTTTCAGCAAATGGAACAAAATTGTGTTCACAGGTAGTTGAAATCTTTTTGTGACCTGCCTTTCTAGGTGTTCTAGCAGATTAGAGCTGCTGTATCTCTCCATAACCGTTTTAATTCAATTTTCTATTTTCTATGAAAGGCATTTTAGTGCTTCGTGTTGGTATGTAGCAGTGATGCCATTTAATCTTGTGATACAGGGAAGAGCAAACAAGTTCAGACGTTCAAGTTTTAAGAGCACAACATGGCTTTCAGAGAAGTGTGTGGCCAGTGTATCTGCATGGCTTTACTGACTTTAATATGGAGAATATAGCTTTCCTGCAAACACATATCCTGCTAATGTCATAAGCTGTTTATTTTTATGAAGCATGTTGTAATTTATGTTTCTATTTATATTGAGGTTGTATGTTTTCAGTGAGACAGCTCTATATGTAAAGGTATATAATATATAGAGGTATATAATATATAGAAGGTATTTCTTCTTAAGTTATTTTCTTGGTTTTAAAACCTGACACTTGTTATAATACTTAGGGGCATTTTTGCCTTTATTTACCAGGAGTTCAACCAGGTCCTGTGTATGGGAAGCTGAAGAATGGAACTGCAGTTGTTCTGGAAAATGGACTAACAATTTCTCCTTCTGATGTCTTAGAAGACCCTATTCCTGGAAGAAAAATATGCATTCTGGGGGATTGTTCAGGGGTGGTTGGAGATGCGGCCGCTAAGCTTTGCTGTGGAGCAGATGTGCTGATACACGAAGCCACGTTGGATGATACCCAAGAGGAAAAGGCCAGAGAACATGGTCATAGCACTCCAAAAATGGCTTCGGAGTTTGCAAAATGGTGTAAAGTTAAGAAACTGGTGTTGACTCACTTCAGTCAGCGGTACAAACCGGCTGCGCAGAGAGGGGAGGGCGATGCGGACGTCACCGAACTAAGGAGGCAGGCAGAGTCAGTGTTAGATGGCCAAGAAGTAATGCTAGCAGAGGACTTCATGACAATAGAAATTCCAATGAAAAAGTTAAAATGGTAGTGTTAGCAAGCTTGGTGTGAAGACATAAAGTAGGATGGTGTTGGGTAACAGTAGGGTTCTGGTATCCAACTGTGGCACACTGAGAACTTGCAAGCTGGAGATGCTACCAGGTACAGTTGTGTTTCTTTTGTGAAGCAAGAAAAAAGGATACTCAGATGTCTGGAACTTGGAATAAGTTCATAATAGATGTTTACAGACACCCCAGAAACTGAATGTGTAGGCTGGTCCTGCCTTCTTTTCTTTGGACCACAGATTCCTACAGCAGAACACTGGATCGTTTGGCTTAATTCAGCCCTTGGGAAGGTCTGTTTTCTGCACCAGAATTCAAGATACCTTTCCTGTTACAAGCTTTTGAGTAACATCTATTTCAAACTTGTATACAGTGTTCTGTAACTGTAACCCTATTTCTATGTAAAAGGAGTATCACACTGAATCTAATAAAGTATAGCTTTGCCAAATGGTTGTAACTTGGGTGTTGCTGCTGCTCAAGTTGAGGAGCATTTCTAATTCTCCCTTTGCATATGAAGTTTCCTCATAAATTAATACAGTTTAGGCTTCCTTGAAAGTGAATTGCTCTTAACAGTTTGATTCATTTAAAGCTCTGAGGCATGAGCCCTAAGTTTGCATACCTATTCCCTGCACCAGTAAAGTTTTAGAAGTATTCTCTGTAAGTCTTTAGCAGATGACAAGTAGCCTTTCCTAAAGTGTTCCTCCAGGTGCATTTTCTAAGACAAATTGTCCTGATTAAAAGCATATTTGTATTTGTAGAAATGCCCCTCCAGGAGGAATTTCACTTACATGTCGCTCAGTCTGTTTCTGCAATGACTTTATTCTATCAGTTAAGGGACGTAGAGACCAACTTGATCTTCTTTTCTTCCTGCCTGGAAACCAACTAGAAGTGTCCCAAATTTTAGCTTAATTTTCTGGTTTAAAGTGAAAATTGGTGGTTTCGAACCCTGTATCTGTTTCCCCCAGCATACATTTCCTGAAAGCTGAAACACTTCAGAGCTTTCTAATAAGCGCTGAAAACTCTGGCAGGTGTAAGTACAGCTGCTGTGTCTGTGCTTGTACTTTGTTGCCTTGATGCTAATACAGATAGAAAACAAATCCCTTGTAATATACAATTTCCCCTCCTGCTTTAAATGCAGACTAACAAAGCTCCAAGACCTGAGAACACTCCCGCTCTTTAAAGATCTCTCACCTCTACATAGAGCACTGCGCGCTGTGTGCAGTGTGGTAATCCTCACCCAGACCAAGCTGCAGAGGTGAGGAGGTCAAATCCTGCAGCTTACTTTTGGATACTTGTCATGTTTTCTTCACTGAGAGTGTTCTTGGCTGTAATTAAGCAACAGTCTTCAAAGGAAGAGTGTGATTTCCTACTGTTTAACTAAATGGATGCAATTGAATTTAACATCATAACCCCACCCGGCAAACAGACTCTGTCTTACCTGCAGTTACAGTAACTCTGAACTGAATTACACCAACATTAATATTTTGTGCTTCAAATTTAGAGGGTGTCTTAGATCTCTTAGAAGAAAAAAGCTATTGGGAAGAGTGAAGACTTGAAGAACATGACTTCTGGAGCGGAAACTCACTGATCTCTCTGACTCCTCTCTTAAAAATGGTACAAAGCAGGCAGAATCTGCAGATCATGCACTGGCACGTTCTTTCACCCCAGAAGTTGTTTTTCTTTTGTAAGATAAAAATGAATACCAAGTCCAGAGATCTTGATATTCATGCTGCTTTATGTATTCAGAAGCTGAGCAGACTCCAGCTATCCTATGGTTCTTACAGTGAAGGAATAACTTTCTTTGTGTCGTGACCCGCTCTGCTACATCTGCTTCCACACTGGAACAACCAAAAATTCCTATTTCTAAGACATTCACAGTTGTGATATGAAGTTTAGGGAAAAACTTAAAGGCTTTGTGGGCACCACCTGCATGTGACAAAATCAAAGGATGGAAATAAAACCAGGGGACAGCCCAAAAGCCTATGGAACCCTTGTGCATGCACCACTGCAGCTCATCTCCCCACAGTGCTGGATACTGCTGCTCCAGAACTGGGTTATCCATGCCGGCAGTAAATACAGTTTTGCATTCATGTGGTTAGTTAATTGCTGTGAATTCAGGAATATCTTCAGTTCCCATTCAAATGATAGAGGGTGTGGGTAGATGGGTGAGGTGAATCCACAGTGCAGGCTCCTGGTGTGGAGGAAGCCTCACCTCTCTGTGCCCTGCAGTCCCAGTGTCCCCAGTGGTCCAGCTCAGTGTGCTGGTCAGTGCTTGCCTAGCTAAAAACAAACCGTTTCTCAATAGCCTGCAGGAAAACAGCCTCCAGGCTCATTTTCTGCCAGATTACTGAGTCAGTCAGTGAGCTGTCTTGCTGCATGACTTGAACGAAGGAGGGTGTAGAAGTGCTGGGCCAGAACTCTTTGGGAGCCCCAATTTTAACCATAGTGAGCTGATAGATCATGTTGGTCCTGCCACATCTGAAATATGCTAAATATCCTAAATAGCTACATCCTAAATATGTTTTAGGATCTAAATCCTAAATAAGAATGGGTCAATTTGGTTAAAGAACAGAAAGGTGAAAAGTATATCAAAGTAAAGCAGCAGGCTGGGTCTTCAAGTGTCAGGTCAAGGGACTTTCCTGCATAGAATTGATGTGTTAGTGCAATTTTTAGGGCTATTTATTCTGTATGGAAAAACAAGGCAGGAAATGCTCATTTCATCTAAGCTGAGAAGAAAAGCTGCAAGGTGCCTGGTCTGTATTTAAGGCCAGGTTAACTATATAGCTGTCAGTGTCTTTGCAGTGCCTAAAGGGACTCCAGGAAACCTGGAGAGGGGCTTGTGACAAGGGCCTGAAGGGACAGAACAAGGGGAATGGCTTGAACCTGCCAGAGGGGGGATGGAGATGAGCTCTGAGACAGAAGCTCTTCCCTGAGAGGGTGCTGAGGCGCTGGCACAGGGTGCCCAGAGAAGCTGTGGCTGCCCCATCCCTGGCAGTGTTCCGGGGGCTGGGAGCACGCTGTGTTAGGGGAGGGTGCCCCTGCCTGTGGCAGGGGTTGGGACTGGATGATCTTTAAGGTCCCTTCCAACACAAACCAGACTGGGATTCTTTTCTATGATTCTATGACTTTTTAAAATGGTTTCGTTTTGGAATGTTGGTGAACGAGGGTACATCTAGTGCTGGGGTTATGTGAAATTCCTTTATTTCCAATTTAATATATTTTAGTATTTGTAATCCAGTTACAGTTGTCTCTTGCTTAGCAGAACCATGTGTCTTTGCTTACCTTGGTCCACTCCTCTCTCGAAGTCTGGATACTAAATTACTTCATAAATCTGACTGCTAGTGAGACTTGGATTAAATTAATGGGAACATGTGCACCAGTCAGGACTGACAAATTTAGACCATAAATTGTCTATTTTTCCAAATGAGTTTATCTTTCCATTAACCAATTGTTAATTACTGGAGAACAGAATTCCTTTGCCTTAAAATATATCTGCCACAGAGCATTTCCTATGACAGCAGATAAAGGACCCTGGCCTGGTTCTGTAGGGACTTGGAGGGTGTTTTAGCAAGTTTTGGGCGTGTAAATGAAGATTCTTTCTTTTTTTTTTTTTTTTTTTTTTTTTTTTTGTTTTCAGCTTTGAATAACTTATTTTAAACATTCTTCTGCTTTCCTGGTCGAGTTCCGCTAAGTTTGGTTCCTTTTTTTAGCTCATACCAGCAGAGGGACTTGATAAACTCTGAAAGAAGCATTTTATGTTACGGGAAAGAGGAGGAGAGAGGAAATCAGACATGAAGAGTTTTGTAACAGCAGAGATGTTCCTGCTTTCTATGTGTAGCTGCTAACGAAATGGATGAGCAGCAATCGAAAGGAGTGAGGGCGAATCTTCCTTCTCCCGAGGTCTGATTGAGCTTGGAAAAGAGGTTGGGAAACGAGCTAGCCACAGCACAGGAATGGTTGCTGCTCCGAGTGTGGCGCAGTCTGTGTGCAGGGCGGAGAGCTCAAGATCAAGTCTGGGCTCTAAATCCCGCTGGGAAAGGGATCCTTGATGCCAGAGGTGGCTCAACCTTCGCTGTCAACCAGTGGGACGCTTCATCTGCCAAAGCAGAAGAAACTCGATCTTCATTTGGGAGCATTTTTATTGTGTTTTAAAGTCTTTGAATAGAATTTGCTCTTAGTGAATTATGTTAATTTATAAGGAAAAGGATATTAATTATTTACCTCAGATGGTTTCATTCTAGAAATCTAATTTCTGGTGAGGTGGTAGTTTGGATCCAGGTCTTGCTGAAATCAGTGGTTTGGCATGTAGTCACTGGAACAACTTAATGCTTTTTTATTAATAATAAAAATGTATTGATTGGGATCTTGAGGTAGAAGAAGTTGAAGAAACTTGATCAAAGCAGTGTTTTGAGGAAGGGGGCAGGGGCGGATGCTAAACCACAACATGTAGAATTGATCCTGCTAATACCAACATTTGATACTTGAAACGTGTTGGAATTCAAAGGCATTCAGGTGGCTGGAAAAAGTACCTTTTTGTTGGACATAGTGTCTCTGCAGCCTTTCAGAATCACTTTAATGGCCTACAAAGGTCCCTTGTACAACTTAATTGTTGCTGGGGGAGCTTTAAGGCCCCTTCCAACACAAACCAGCCTGGGACTCTATGACATCTCCATGATTGCTTTATCAACCTCAAGACAAACAACACAGAGAGTTACCACATGTACAGTAATTTTAAAATGCCTAATTCAGATCCTGTCCAATTTAATACAACATTCATGCTACGGAGGTGAATTAATCTCACTCACAACCCAACTATAGTGTCATCCTTGGGGATTTCCTCGTTGAATTTCCACCTTGTTCACACCTGCTTACTTCTTGCTTAAATAGGATGCTAAGTTAGCATCCCTACCCCCTTTCATCTCCACTCCTAAACCCTACATTTTTGCCTAAAAAGATGGCTGCCCGTTGCAAAGATGTTTCATGCATGGTG